GAATTTAATTGTTACACTGGGGGGAACTCCAAGACTACCAGAGAAATATTTCATGGTATGTTATAAGCATTGAATTTTGGTATATTCGTTTTGTTGAATATTTATAGCGGTGTGATTTGTATTCATATCGTCTTGAGTACAACTTTTTGATATATTAACAGTCGTGTTGAAATTGTTACTTCTCATCGGAACTTACATTTTTTGAAAATGGAAGACAAAATAGAACCGTTAGACCTCTCTGAGGAATAAATTGATTATGAATTGCTTTTTCTCACCTTCGAACTATTCAATATATTATTTTTCCTCGCGAACCACGCGGTACTTTCCACACATCCGATCTCACCGATATATTGCCGTGCAATAAATGGCCAATCTCGATGTAGACCCGAGATCTTGACCTTCGCTCAAATCTTCCTGGATTGTTGTCATGATCGCGCTTCGGTATATCTCCGTGAAATGCCACCTATCACCTATCGATCGGTATATCTCGGAAGAATTTGATACGGAAGATATTAGTTGGCAAATGAACTCGAGAATGAGCAGCGATGGGCGTTCATCGGGTACCGTCAAGTCACTAGCGGGTGTAACCAGCGTTTCTGCATCGGTACGAAATTTACAGGGTGTTTTTGGATAACATGCTAATATTTAGGAAGTATTTTTCAGGTGCATTCTGGCAAAATACAATTTTGATGAACTCTCGGCAGCACAATAGTACAGTTAATACCTCTCAATAAATTTAATAATAACTATATTCAAAATCCCTACCCAATGATCTGTCCTCATGATCTCACGTACTCTTGGAAAATGTTGAGTCTGTTTTCAATACTGTCATAGGAAACTGTGATGCTGAAATATCTTTGACCAAAGCTTTTTTTTAAGGACAAAATACAACCACTACAGAAAAACGCTTAAGGCGCTCTATGGGCGGTTCCTGTACGAAAGTAGCGATTCACATTGGATTTGAATCGATGGAGATTCGTTCTCAGAAAGTTTATTCCACATAAAGGCAGTTCTCCAAATGTGAAGTTCGAGGTGTACTGAGTGGAACTCCAAAATGATGAGCAGCCACAGTCCGTCGCGTATTATTGATATGTACCGCTCTTGGTGGAATCAACTGTGTCAAGTCACTTGAACCCGCCAACCTTTCTATCAAGGTTGCAAGTGATGTTCGCGTCTCCAATCAGGTGGATCGCTCTTTTCTGGATGGAATCCAGCACTTTCAGGGTACGCTTAGGGGCGGAGCTCCATACATGAGAACAATACTCCAAAGAAGGTCTTTGCTATCTTTACAGAGCATCTAAAGTTGCTGAAGTGTGTACAGTGTTCTGATTTGGAACAGTAATTCTTCTTCGAGATACTGTCGGTAATTATACCTCTCATAGAGGTTAAATGAGAGTCCAATTATATAACTACCCCATTTTCCAACCCACACGTTAACGGAAAACTGCTCCTGGTGACAGGATTATAATATGGCATATGAGTCTGTTTTATTCAATCCAAAAGGGATCATTTTGAAGGAACCATCGATAAATGGTATCCGTGATGAAATCGAAAGAAGTAGAACATGAACACGTTGGATGTGGTAGATATATACATGGTAAGATGATAGTTAGTTTTCGTCTACCTAATTTGAGATCTTCCTCAACGGAATTGAAAACCACTTTCCCAACCGAGTCTTCAATTTTTGGTGTCCTTGCAGTAAGTTTTACTAGTTTTAAGTGATTATTTCGTTCAAAACGTATATTTTCGTACACTCTTCTATGAATGAGCAAAACCGTTCGTGAATCTGGAATTTTTCTAATTGGAGGGCGCTATTCATACAACCACCTGGCTTCACACACAAATAATGTTTCACAAAATTATTTAGGGTTATACCACAGTTGTCATAAAAAATAATGCATTTGACCAGTGTGAAGGTAGCCATGCGTTTTCATCCATGTGTTTGGTGAAAGAGAGGCGAGCGCGCTATTCCGCCATAGGTCGTTTCACCGCAATTATTCACATGGCTAGCCATGGAAATTTTTACATTGACAGACTCATTGCTGGAAACGAACTGACGTGATTGGAAATGATTCAAATGATGATGAAAATCAAGATTTTCATCATCATTTGAATCATTTCCAATCACGTCAGTTCGTTTCCAGCAATGAGTCTATCAATGTAAAAATTTCCATGACTAGCCATGTGAATAATTGCGGTGAAACGACCTATGGCGGAATAGCGCGCTCGCCTCTCTTTCACCAAACACATGGATGAAAACACATGGCTACCTTCACACTGGTAGGCATTTGTTCGGGTAGATTAATTTCTTGAAATGGACTCAAAAATGATTGACTTGAATACGTTATGGATTTTCATGAAGTATCGACCAATGTCATCACATACCCTTGAATATAGGTATGTTATCAAGAAACACTGTATTAGGAGTCATAGTGTACTTTGTAGGGCAATGCTGTTAACAAACCAATACCTACTACAACCTTTTATAGTATTTTTTGATTGCTGGACCTAGCACCTATACTCGTGAGTAAACACCAAGTACCATATTTCTGAAGTGATATATGCAATAAGACTCAAATTTGCTGTCAATGCGGCCTGATTTCATGACCGTATGGTTGAGCCTTTGTGGTCAGTAGTTTCTCGCTTCCGAAAAGTTCCTAAACTCCTTAAGTAGTTTATTGACGATCTCCTTAGCCTTGACGCACCATTTACCCCTTGAATCCTGTTAACGTTTTTTACGGACATCCTTCTGTTTTCCTCTGGGGGTGGGATGGTGAATTGTTATGGTTGAAGCCCTTTCTTTTGATTTTCACAAAAATTTTCATCCTTGGCCACTACCGTGAAAGCCCTGAATCTCTTTTTCTTCATCCGCCTCTTGAACAGTTCTTTTTTACAGATTTTAGTCTCAAAATATCACGAGAAGTTCCTAAGAAGCAAACTACTCTGTAAGACAAAACAATCCGTAACGATGGCAATGTCGTACCCTCTTATCCCCCACTCTTGCAGCTACGGAAATTGGTGGTTGACGAGTTGTTCAGGGGATTCTCAAGAAGTAATGTCTTCATCGCTTTCATTGTTTTCAGACCTCAATACAGCTCCAACCCTCTTGCTTTGTTATTGTTTTTTTCTAGTAGGCAGAACGTACCACTATTTCGATGGATGGCACAGCGAGAACGCAAGAATAAATCGGTGCCATGGACAGTGCAAAAGGTGCACAATACCTTTACTCAAATGAAACGATGCCCCAAATTTCTACCCGAAAAAAATCACATCTAAATTCGTTTCGGTTCCAACAAAGGATCGCGCCGAATAGATAGGCAAACACTCTAGTAATTCTTCCATCGATCAATCGATATGTAGCACTCCTTTATCGAGGTGACTTCTTGCAACCTCCTTGAGGGGTTAATCCAGTCGGACTGCATAAGTTATCCCATTTCAAGTTGATTTTCTTTTTTTTTTTACTTTAAAGTAGTGAGATTATTTTGAAATTAGAATAGTATTATTTTTTAACTAATTATCGTGATCTACGATCAGCTTTCTCATATGGTAACGTATATTGATCGAATGTTTAGTACCCGTACCCAACTAGAATAATCGTGAAGTTGTAGCGGTACTGATTGAAGATTACTCTATTGGACATACTGCGATTGCGGCATCCAACGGATAATTATTGACTGAAGAAGAGATATATGGTTTTGGTGCAGGCGGTTTGTCAAAGATTATATCATAGAGGTGCGAGGAATGGAGGAACAGTAACCTGATGAGAGTTTCAAAATTCGTAATTAAGCGTTAGTGTTTTGTGAGTTCGGCCATAATAATTTAATTGCCTGTTTATCAATTAAATTGAGATAGGAATTTGAACATTCCGACTGTTCCAAGAACTTCCGTAGTTCTCCTAAGCTTTGAAAAGAAAGTTATTTAGATAGAAATAAACTAACTTAAATTTCCTGAGCAGTGGAAAACGGCTCCAATTTGTCCGATATTAAAAAAAGGTGACTAGCGATATCACAAACTACAAGGTAATTTCAATATTTAAAAAGTTATTTCTCCTTCTCAGCATAGTTTCGTACAACAAAGATCATGTATGACAAATCTTGCATATTTAAATCAATATGTCTGTACGTACCTGGACAAGCAAAAACAAGTCGCTGTTGTTTATTTAGACTTTCAAAAAGCCTTCGATCAAATAGATCATTATGTTCTTCTCAGCAAATTGACAAAACTAGGACTCTCTAACCAACTGCTTACTCTAATTGAATCTTATCTAGTTAACAGAAAACAATTCGTCGAATATGAATCTTTCAAATCGGCTCAGTACGTAGTTACGTCTCGGGTACCACAGGGTTTTAATCTTGGACCTCCTTCATTTTTAATTTTCATTAATGATCTGGCAACCTCTTTTAATATTCCTAGCCTACTATTTGCAGACGATCTGAAATTATATTATAAAATCGACGACATTACTGACTGCCAATGTGTAACAACATGAATTAGTACCAAACTTTGGTGTAACGATAATCGTGTACAACTGAACGTATCCAAATGTAAAATGATATAATTCACAACAAAAAAGCCAACTTCAATGTACGATTATTAAATCAACAATACTACAATCATTCATTTACAGAAATGGCAAAAACTTCAAAAGTATTGCCACCTCAAAATTGCTATATTTTGCGTATGCCAGATCTAAGTTAGTGTATGACTTTTAGGTGTAAATTTTGGAAATGTCTACTTATACGTCTACTTTGAAAATGACATATTTGTATGGAATTAAATTTTCAGCATTCAAAAAACTATTTGATAATATATTCAATTTGGCGAAAGCCTGATTAATGCTTATTGAAAAATTAGTGAATATGTCGGGCGAGACCATTATTTTGGCAATAATGTGATTTTTGAAATAGTTTGTAAAAAAATTTAAAATCATGTGCAATTAATTTCTTAATTTTTTCATCGAATTAGATAGTAATGGTTTATGAACGTAGTGCTACTGCGGACCTTCGGAACCAAGGAATACAACGCTTTGCGATGCTTGGTTGGCCGTTAGCAGCAAAATATTTAATCCTTTCTGAACATACTCTTGCTCAGTGGAGACGGGTGGGGTTCTTTATCGAACAAAAAAAGAAAATAAATCAATAAAACTCGAATAGTTATACCAACTATATTATCCAAATTAAACAACCTATCAAGTTCGATAATCCTCAACAAAATCAAATAAATGTTAATTGCTTGTCGTTGACAATTGACAGGGTGACAATGTTGTGGAACCGGAACTGGATAAATATCTCAAAATAAGAGTCCGTCGATGAAAAACGTTTGACAGTTGGGGAAATCGCAATTATGAATGATGGCTAGCCTGATTTCAGTAAGGAAAAGAGTGAGAGGAGTGACAGGAAAAGAAAGAAAAAGAGGGGCTATGGTGTAAACAGGGGTCAAAGGTCGATCTTCATGTAAATATTGCATGAGATGCAAAAATGCAATCTTGTAAATTGTATGGTAATATTATGTTCTTGAGGCAATTATTCGTCATAAATGTACTAGTTACATGCGCTAAATTCCTTAACCTTTTAGTATATATACTGAAAGTGTACACTGTTAACGCTAGAGGTAAGTTGTTTAATTTTGACCCACTATAGGTTCTTTTAAAGTTGTTATTTTTATGCTTTTTTTCTTTACAGGAAATGAGGATGTGACTGAACTAATGGTCTAGCACAACTTGATAACTGTACAACTATAAAGAAAGATTTGTGTAGTAATTCATGCACAATCAGTGAAAGCGACCATGCTGAGCAATAAAATGATAGAAATAAAGCACAGTTCTGAAAAAAAGCTTATCTGTGCCAGTTCTAGTTACCTTTTTCCCAAATCAATGGTACCAAATGTGGACGAAATTTCAATCATAGAGAAGAATTTCAATACAGACATAAATCAATCTGAATGGATGATGATGACAAGTATAGGTTTTGTTTTGAAATTTTATTTATTTTGTAATAACTGTTATATTTTTAATGATCTAAGTGACTGAAGAGACCAAGTTTACTGCCAGAGATAGTGAGAGTAGGAAAATTTGAGAAGAATTGAAATAAAAAAATAATATTTAATAATAATGATTATCTGTAAGGGCAAGACCGCATATAATATAGACTTGTTGACAATCCGATTCCTCTATTTATTTTCTCCTTCTTCCCTTCCTTTTTAGTCTAAAATTCTTAATATCTAGAAAGAGAAAACAAAACCGTAACAGTAGAAACACTCGTATCATGGCAAGGATAATTTTATTGGGGAGAGAGCATATATGTACCGTGGTCTCTGTTCCACGACTTCAGTACTCCTATCATCCGACATCGATGACGGACGAAAAGGATTGTTTAATAGCAGACGTCTAATCTAAAATGATATATTTATAGAAATCTAATTCAGACTAACTGGTAAATAATAGCTTTGAAATTATAGTTTTTACCGCGATGCGAAGCACATAAATCGGCGATAGGTCAGCTTGTAAATCAAAAGGTTTCATTTTTTAGGTATGTATCTACTATATTTGCCGGACGTGATATTTGTTATTTATTATCATTATAGCTTGAGTTGTCCAAGAGGATTCTTGCATCGGTTCATTAATAATTCTAATGTTGCGTCCTTTCAACGTGAAACAACATTGAAATGGATTGTATAAAGGCTTTCTATATCGAAATAATTATGTTACACATTTGTTAGGTCAGTAGAAACCATTCTGCAAAATATTTAACCTAATCATTTGAATAATAATCAGAACTTAATCCCGGTAGAGATGAAATGAATAATCAAGGATCCCGCTTCAAAATCACTACGTCCAAAACGTAGTTAACCAAACTCAGATTTTTACATACATTTATGAATAGGAGAATACATTACTGACAGGTTGCCAGAGAAAAAGTGGTCGCTAATATTTTTAATTAAAAAAATGTATGTGGTTTGAACCACACGACTGAAGTTAAACCTTCAGCTCCATCTATATATGTATGTATGTACATCCAATGGCTATATCTGGGCAATCAAATAAAGTATAAGAAATCTGAGAACAACTTTCATAATAAATGAGTAAATATGGAATTTAAAAAAAATTGGAACTAACGAAGAATTATTTTCAAAATCGGTTTTTCATTGTCAAACATAACGAAAAAATTTCAGATAAATTTCCAACTAGGTCAGGTGTACCACAAGAATCGAATCCAGGTCCACTTCTGTTCATAATTTTCATCAATGATTTACAGTCAACTCTAAAATATATAGATTGTCTTCTTTTTGCTGATGATTTGAAACTCTTTAAATCAATCCAAACAGTCCGATACTGTACATATCAGCAAAAGGATATAAATAAAATTTCAGATTGGAGTTTGAAGAATAAATGTAAGAGTTTAATTGTATTCATATAAAAAATGTTATACATATTATGAAATTATGAACGACAACATAAATCAATTGCCGCTCCGGGGCGACTTGAAGGATTCCAGTGGCGCATTTGCTTTTTCTGCTGCAGGAAAACCCGGAAAAACCTGCAACACCAGATCACTATTGAAATTTGGACGACCGGTATGAAATCGGCCGTCCACAATCGGTGTGTGTGCAATTAGCCATTAGTAGGTTGAATAATCTGTCACAACTTTCAGAAGTATCATTATTCAGTGTTCGTATGGGAGGTCTTGTTTTACAGTCTTATTAACTATTTGTTGGAAATATTTTTACTAGCGTTCAACCGCCAAAGGCTTCCAGTATTTTTATGTTTTGTTTCAATTATTAGAAACTGGTTATCTCGGTCTGATAGCGTGTCTAAAGATTATTATCTCCACTGAAACGGAAAGTGTTTTCTATCGTCAATAGAAGGATCATCATTTATGAAATAAATAGAATCATTATCTAGGGAATAATTCTTCACGATTGCATTATCGCTTCAATTTCAGCTGAAATTGTTTCAACAGCAATGAGACTTCCTCAACTGTAATGATATAATTCCGTGGCATGAAGAGAAACATTATGTCGAATGAAGTTGTTTCTTTGAATGTTAGTCTAGTTCACCGGTGCAATTTCTCATTCATCGAATTCGACTTCACAGAAGATTATAATTGAGGATTTAGGTATAATTCGATTGTAGGTCCATACACGAAGATGCAAAACTGAATCCTGCTTTCACGAGAACAAATGTGAAATGAAAATCCTGAAATACATAGTCCAGATTTGTCAGGTCATTGTAAATTTTAGCAGTGAGTATTATGATTTGAACCTTGATACATATAAATTCGCGTATTATAATGCGTGAATGTATCTTCCTTGAAACGAACGACAATCACCACCTAATCACCACCCCAATTGAAAGTCATCGTTATACCACTTTGCAATTTACTTCATTCGTGTATTTGTTATACAGTTCACAGTAACGTCAATATCTCTACAAATATTTATTATTCTCTGCCGTATATCCAATATTGAAGTTGGTTCAGTTTCGTACATCTTTTGCTTCAAATAGCCCCATAAAAAAGTCCAAAGGTGTCAAATCTGGCGAGCGGGCTGGCTATTCTGTAGGACCTCGACGGACAATCTAACGACCGGGAAAAGTAGTATCCAAATAGTTTCTTACTTGTCTGGAGTAATGTGTTGGTGCTACATCTTGTTGGAATACAATATCCATATCAAATTCATTAAGATTCCCTTCGACGATTTTAGTAATGAGAGGGTCAACAGTAGTTTCCAGCATATTCAAATACAGTTCCCCTGTTAAATTTTGATCAATAAATAGAGGTCCTATAATATGGATCCCAATATTCCTGCCCGAACGTTAAGTTTTTCAGGATATTGAGTATGTGTTTTCCGGAAAACGTGAGGGTTGCTGTCACTCCAATAACGGCAATTTTGTCTGTGAACATTGTCGTTAAAAAAATGTACATTCGTCAGTAAAATAAATATTGTGGAGAATTTTGCAGAATTCTGTTCTTTGATCAGGGTCATCTTCAGTTAATTGGTGTACCACTTTAATTTTGTATGGTTGATACCAATTCCTCTTTGAAAGTCTCCACACAGTAGAAGGAGACCCCTCACAAACATTCGCGACTGATTGAGTAGAATGATCCGAATTTACTACCATCTCACCAATTATTTGCACTTGCTGTTCTTCCGGAATGGACGGATGACCTGGGGGCTTTCTGTTATGTACACTCCCGGTAGTTGTGAATTTGGATACAAGTTCCCTGAAATATTTTCTACAGATAGGACAATTCGGAAAACGTTCATTGAAAATCCTTTCAGTCTTATGGATGTTATGCGTCGCACCGTAAATAAAAATCGCTTCAATTTTTTCTTCCCATAGACGAGAGTTGACCATTTTAGAGATTGTTGACGTGTTGACGTTTCTACTAGTAAAACCGAAAACTAAATGAGAATATTCTAACTGAACAATTATATTCATTGACGTACTGACATTTTTTGTCGTTTTTATAAACAAAAAAACACTTAACTTTATCAGGTTGTTGGAATTGCCATATGGTAGATAAAAAGGAATATTTCTAGAAATATCGATATTAATGTGTTTGTCTTCAGGAAATTATTAAATGTTTCGCCATTTTGTAGTATGTGAAAATATTAACTTCATATCCTAGGGTTGTGAAGTATTCGTCAGGAGCTTCAAAATGATGTGTCACAAGACCCCCCTTTCCATTTAATTTTTTTTTTCCGATGGCGCCCAGTCGCTATCTTGAAAGTTTCATCTGTCAATTTCACTTCAAAATGAAGTATTCATGCATTAATTTCATTATCCCAAATTTAAATTTTTTGAGTTAACCCGTTCAAAAAATAAAAGGGTGGGGGAAATCAAAGAAATGCACTGTATTATAAAGCGTTCCTATGGATGATATCTGTTTCAATTCCATAACGAATGTTTTCGTATAACTCAATGTTCATACGAAAGTGGATGTTTCGAAAGTGTTCTTTCTTTTGTGTAATTCAATGTTCACTTGAAAGTTGTTGTATTTTTTTCCAGTTTGTATCCGAAAGCAACTTCTATGCATGATCTACATATCTTCATATAGAGTTTTTTTCAACTTGATTGCTTTTTTTTCCCCAAAACAATCTCTTCTAAAAAATATATTCCTTTCAATTTGAAACAAAATTTTTTGTTCATTTCTGTACAGAATGTGAAATCAAAAGTAATATCAAAAAGTGATTAGAAAAAGTAATGGTTTTCTGATTGACCGTGTAAAAGAAAGAGCTGAGGTGTAATTTTGACGAAAAATACCTTTTCTTCAATATAATTTTCAGATTATTATTGATATGCAAAAACGAAATAATAATTCTGGAATTTAATAAATTTTAATACCTGAATAACGAGAAATTTGAAAGTACAATATTCGAATATATGAACAGAGTACGTAAATGACTAAACTCGATCTACCTACTTGACGCAGCTAGATGCATCACCAATACGTCGCGTATTCTTTTCGAATTTATTGAAATTCAGAATAGCGTTTCAGTTGGAATTAAGAATGAAATACCTATGAAATATGAAAAAAGAATAAATTTCGATTATAATATTGAGCTTTCTGTTTATCATATATAAATTATTGGTATTCTACGATGAGTATGAAATGAAGTACTGTTGTCTTATTTTTGTGAAGTTATGTGAATCAGTGAAGTGAGGCTATCTCTTCATTGTACTGGTGAGTTTTATTTCATTTGCTTATTAATTTGAGTTGTCTCAGAAGTATTGGGGCCTAGTTAC